ATAAGTAATTTAATAAATTTTTTAATAAAGTTTATAATAATTTATAAGCCTTTTTAAGTAAAATATTAAAAATATTTTAAGGTTTGCGTTGTTAACTGTGTTTTTATTTCAAAAATATGAATAAATGACATAAGCAGATATAAAAAAATGTTTACTCCTTTTGTGAACTTTGTACGATATGTCGTACAATTTTTGGGGGCCTGTAAAATCTATAATAATTATTTTATTTTTAATTTCCTTACAATTTATGACTATTTAGCACTAAAGGGAAACAAAAGAAGTCAGTTGATTTTTTTCCACCACTAATATGGAAATGAAAACAAAGGGTTAACATTTTGGTTCATTCTATCAACTCCATCCATATCAGCGTTGAATCTGTAGATTGAATATGAGCTTCGAAAAAAAGCCATCATTASATTTGTTTTAAAATTGGKAAAACTTTTAYCGAAACGTTTCAATTGATGACACAAATGTAGGTCGATGATTGCCTATCCCWTRGCAGAGTGCACGAGTGGTTTCAACGTTTTCAAAGTGGTCGTGAGGACATAAATGACGATMAACATGTGGGCTAATCAARATCCGTCAAMACCGGAAATTYYATCGAATCTGTGCGTGAATTCATCAAAAATCAGCCGAAATCATCATTGAAATTCATGGAAATGGAATTGAACATCTGCAAAACATCGATTTATCGCATTTTGACTGAACATTTTGGCTTACGAAAAGCTGCATTGAAAATAAATTAAATTTTATTTTGAATAAATTAAATTGATTTTGCCGAAAAACCATTTTTTTCTGTCCTGTTTACTTTGGAACACACCTTGTACGTCGAGACACATAATACTATACAGCTTGTGCAAGAACTTAAGTCGCTCAACCTTCTCAAGCGACATGTCATCTTTATGCTTCATGTCATCTTCGTAGTTCAGCGATCTCCATTTCAGTCTCAATGAGTGAATAGCAAAATTTCTGAATTTGAGAATTGAATTCAAGTGCTGCCATTTCATSCAGGAAAAAWAGCGATTTGGTGTGGCTGGTGGTTCACCGGTTCACAAAATAATTTCTGATGGCCGATAAGTGAAATCGTTCGCGATAGCAGGCACTCTGTGCAAAGTGGATGCCGCGGGAGCTCACTTTTGACCAAAACAAACGACGAGTTGATGATTCGGAGCAGTTTAGAGCAGTTTAGAGATGTTCAAGCATAATACGCCAGAGTTTTTGCTTCAATATGTGACAATAGATGAATAAGGCTTCATCGA